CTAGGTTTTTTAAAGGGGACCTCTTTGTCTAAAGAGGTTTGGATGTCTTAGTCTTGTTACCCTGGTTTCTTAAAGGGCACCTCTTTGTCTTAAAGAGGTTTGGATATCTTATTCTAGCACTGTAAGATGCATCAAAGGGTTTTTTTTTCTCACTGCTTAGTTGTTTGGAGGTCATAGTCTTGGTGCCCTAGATTTCTTGTAGGGGTTTTGCTTTAACCCTAGTGGTTTGTACTAAGGAGCTGTTATTTTAGTGACCTTGGTTGAATGAAGCTGTTCTACATTCGAGGCTAGTGGATTGGAGGTTCTATCTAACCACATGCATGAAATAGCTGAATCTCTTACTCGGTCCTGTTTCGATCCCAGAGGAAAAATTTATTTCTTACAAAATACATATCTTGCAATAAAATATTTCATGTAAAATGGGTTTTTATTGTTTCGATAGCATCTGGATGCACCTTGGGAGATACATTCTGCCTAAAATGCAAAGAATCACTAGAGAGGAAAACACAGTAGAGATAGAGAGAAGGAAATAGCTAGTGCAATATTGAGTTAGAAAGAGATTGGAGATTTTTGTGAATGGGGATAGACTGAGAGAGGCAAGGAATAAAGATATAAGGATTTGAGAGAGAGACAAAGGGGGGAAAGAGGGCAAGAGATTGTGTTTTTTTGTCCATGCCCCAACCATACTCTCGTCTTAATTCCTTTCACTCGGCTCTGAAAGGAAATCAAATTATTTCGCTTGTGAGGAGAAAAACAATTTATGTTTGGGGCTCAAAATAGAGAAAATAATTTCTAGCAGGAAAAAAAAAATGTCTGAGATTTTGGATCAAACGATGGAAATAGGCAATCTCTCTAGAAAACCATTTTGTGGTAAACTTTTCCCATGAATCCAAATAGCTCCATAGGAATGTTAGCTTCTACGTAAAATCACTCTTTTTAAACCTACCTGCAAAAGAGAGATATACAAACGATGACATGAGGATTCGGTTTCTTACCTCCCAAGGCACGAAGCAGATTTCCCATTAAACACAGTATTTTGTATGGCAATATTTGCTCGGTGCTTTCACATGTAAATCACACATGGGAAAGCAATAGGAGGGAATCTCTTTTCCGAGGAAAAATTTTATACCAAAGGTACCCTTAAACTAATAGTTTAGGGCAAGCTTGCAAGAAGGATTTTACTTGTATATATCTTTACCTAGAGATTTGGAGCACTGGCATTAGCTAGCACCATAGATATCCAAAACTGTCCTAATTATTTTGCCTAGAGGTTCGAGCCCTGGGTTTCAGGGTGACTCCAAAACCTAGGTCTTAGGGAATCTAGCCCATAGCCCGAAGAGTCATCTTATTAAAAATATGCTTCTCAAATATACAAAAAAATATGCTTCCCAAATATACAAAAGTGAAAACTTGGATATAGGATCTTCATGCATATATGTATTCACATGCAACTGTATACATACGTACAATGCATGAATACATATACGATAACCTATCGCTCTCCTTAATTCTCGCTTATGTTAAGGTTGGGGTTTCTATGAGTCCCCCGACTCACATGTACGTGTGCATCCCGCCATTAAAGTCTATCTTAGCTATGGATTTTGAGTTTAGAAGTTTTAAAGAGATTCATGATCCAGGCCATATATATTACTAACTAGAAATAGCTAAAAATAGCTAGACTAAAAATAACTACACATGGATAGGGGTCCGAGAAGTGAAAATATTTAGATATGAAAGCATCTACAAAACGTGTATAGGTGAAATTCTACCGTACTTCCTTCACCTATACCTCATCACTGTCCAAAGTTCATCACACGGTCATATTTGTCTTGCAGTATTTGAATTTTTATAATTATTGTACTAATCAAATTTATCTAAAATTTGAGGCGTGTATACATATGACCAAGTCACACTAAAATAAAATATTTAAAAAATAACAATCATAAAATAAAATGATGAAATTACCCCTGAAACTTTATAGGGGTATTTTGCGTACGTTTTATCATTCAAATTATTTGTTTTATATTTTATTCATGTACATCTCACTAAGACGCACACACCTCGAAAATTTTAGATCATTATGAGTTGTAAAAAAAAATATTAAAATTCAAACACTATCATATATCTGTGACCGTGTGATAAACTTTGAACGGTGATAAAGCCATAGGTGAAGTACTGTAGAACGTCACCTATAGGCGTTTTGTAGTGTTTTCCTTTAGATATCATTATATATAACATAAAATACGTATCAAACAACTAAAAACTTAATATTATGCATAGTATATAAATTTAATAAGATGATATATTCTAGATAAATTTAATTATCATCGAAAGATGCTCTTATATGGTAGAAGCAAGGTGTACATCAAAAATCATCTAAAAATGTCATTTTGATATTTAAAACAATTGATCATTTCAACCTTGAGATTTATAGATATAAAAAAGAAAAAAATTTCAAGTCCTAAAAATAGTGAATAACACATTATCTAGAATTCCTATTTTCAAAAAATTTAAATGTTTATAGATCAGAAGCTCAATGCACACCAATCTTGAAGCTTTAAATTTTAGAATTACATGTAAAAATAGATTTATGGACATTTTTAAGGTTTTTCGGCACAAAAACTAATCTTTTAGCAAGATTTAAAAGTGTACCTTATTTTTTGTTATTTAATGTTAACACTTTATACAAAGTACACTGATACAAAGTATGGAACTATTTAATAATTAAAAAACAGTGGATTTTTATGTTGACTTTCTTATATAATCAATGAGATTGTATACGATGAGACCACTTACCTTGGGTACAGAGAGGCAACCATATGATGTGAAATCTGATAGCTTGGGTGTGTCACAAAGTTCGAAAAATAAAAATTGAACTTTGAGTTTGGTGAATAAAATAAATGTAGCCATACAATTTCACATCCAGTAGTCAAGATTAATTGTGACCACCTTGTATCTCAAGTAAATGGTCTCATTATATACTTTTTCGCTTTCAATAGAGTAGGATGGAGAACCAGAATTCATGTAGTCCACCCTAATTAATTGAAAAAAAGTTAAAATAATGATATAATGATATACGGAAATAAGCAATTTATCTTTGTTGCAACATCGTCTCTTATGGTCTCTTTTTATAGTTGGATGTTCAAAAGGAGGCCAAGAGGCATGCTGTTGATTAGGATAAAAAATCCATAAAAAATATTACTCAAAACTTTTGCAACCCAAAAAGCTCTTCTAAAAAAAAATTCTGAGCCCATCTAGATCAAGATTAGCCAACCGCATCAGTCCAACCATTACCCATTTCACCTAAAGGATCTAATATTAGACGACACTGTTATGAATATACTCGTAAGCAAACGTATTTACACACCCTATGAGTGTCACCCTATAATTATCCGACTGAGAGATGAAGTACATGTAACAGAGCTACATCTCTTGCTCTCTCTCTCTACGGTGTACATGAAGCTTCTCTCTCTCTCATTCTCATGGTTAAGTTGAGCGATGCATGTGAAGAGGTACACCTAACCCCATTTCTCTTAACTTTGTTGCACGTGTGACTGAAAATACAATTGCACTCTCTCACCAGAGGGCATAGATACATGAATAGCCGGTGCTTTAAGACTAGATCCATGGGGCAAATTGTTCGCCCATAAATTTATGTCGGATGGTTGGACTGAGTCTAGATAGATCCTAATCAATGATCCAAAAATTAATAAAAATAAACAAAATAAAATAAAATTTAAAATACAAGGTAGAGACTTAGATCGACCTAAGAGAATATTAAGTAAGCTTTAAAAATATATATATATATATAAATAGGGGGTTTTTTGGCGGGGAACTAGGCCAAAACCTCATACCATCCCAAAACCAATTTGGTCTTGATCGATTCTCAACTAAATGATCGTTGAATTCTAAGCACTATATATAACTAAGAGCATATTGTCAAAAAAAATATTATCACCACCAGTTTAGCTTTTTCCCAATTAATTGAAGTCAGCTGAATCTTGAATCTTCATTCTGCTTTATTAAAAGCTACATCATCGAGCTATAAGTCTCCGTATCTTTTCGAACTACTTGTTTTCCGTATTTTTTTTAGTCCTTCCACTTGAAATTAAAATAACATGTATGAAATATAATAATATTAATAAAAAAAGTAAGTCTGTTTCTCCCCACCCTATACGCTAACATATATAGACCACCTGTACAAAGTCCTAGATCCTAGGGCATGCTATTAAAGACAGGTATTAGATTTAGTGTGGCAGAATAATAAACACATGTGATGCCTCCCTGGCTTTAAGGCGTGGGTTGATTCACCCATTTATCTCCTTGTCCCTTTTTACCTTCCATTCTACACCCTCAACCCCTTAAACTATACAACCTACTTCCCCCCATCTCATTTCCAACTGCTTTTCCTATTTCTTAATAAGGTAATGAAAAATATTACCGCTTAACGTGGTAACCGTCCTCGGTAGAAACGACCAGGCCTCCTGAGTCTTGAGACACCACGTGTGTAACCAACTCGTGGGTTACCGGATCCCCGATATTAACTAATCAAAATCCAAATATTAGTAGACTATTGCACAAGCACGTATACTATGATCTGCAGGAGCATACTGTGGATTTATTCTCAGTCAGAAAACCTACTTGGAAAGCTCATTCCAGTCTAAATTTGTGGGAATGAAGTTCCTCTTAGTATTAGTATTTTCAGCCGAAGAAGATTTTGATTTTGAGTTTCCCATATGCTTGGATCTCACCCTTGTAAATATTATTTTTTATTTTCTAATTTTTCTTTATGGTTTCTGATAATTCTTCTTAGCATCATATCTTCCCTTCAATTTATTATATAACACAGATATTGTAGTTTGGAAATTCTTTTTAATTTCATAAGTTAATGTACTCCTGCAGGAGCATCAAAACTTTTGACAGGGACGAGAGACAAACGGACCTAAATAAGTAATAATGCTTACAACTTCACTGCTTCTGTTGTGACAGCCCTCTTTCTCTCTAGCCACACACGCTAGACAGTGAAAGTGGTCACGAAGGTCCTCTCTCGTGGTGCTGGAGCTGGTGTGCGCGCATGGTTTGGGCTAAGAGGGAATACCCAGGCTCAAAGACTGAGCTTCTGATGAATTTGGTGGCTTCGTGTAGCTTAGACTCTAGAGAGAGTATCAGTGGAATTCAGCTGCATTACAGAGGGAGAGAGAGCTAAGTGATTGAGAAAAACTGTAAGTGGGTTTTCTTGAGAGGGAAGAGTGCAATAGTATATTAGACCAGTAGAGAGAGAGAATTCCAAGGCCTTCAAGTGATTGAGAGAGAGAGTGTGTGTGGGTTCAGTGAGAGAGACAAGGATCAAGTGAGATTTAAGTAGCAGGGAGAGAGGATAGTGCGTGTGTGAGAGAGATACTGCACTTTGACCAAACCACCATGGAGGAGGAGAAAGAATGGCGTAGAATCACTTATGAAATCTTCTCAAAGCTGGAGGAGAACTGGCTCAAATCCCACCTCTGTCGCACCCCCTCCTGCAAACAAACCCGCATCCTCAGCATTGACGGCGGCAGCCTAAAGGCTCTGACTGCAGCCAAAGCCCTTGTCCACCTCGAATCCTGCATCCAAATGGCCACCCAGAACCCCTCTGCACGCATCCCTGACTTCTTCGATCTCATTGCCGGCACCGGTCTTGGAGGCCTCCTCGCCGCCATGCTCCTCTCCCCTGACCATGCCACCGGCAGGCCAATGTATTCTGCCAAGGAGGCCATAAAATGTGTGGTCGAAAGCTCCGGCAACATTTTCCAGCGACGAGGGTTGTTCCGGAGAACTTTTTCCGGCAAGAGCTGCGATCGCACCCTGGCCCGACTCCTCTCATTTAATGGTGAGCCACTGAAACTCAGTGAAACATTGAGGCCACTGCTCATCCCATGCTATGATTTGAATAGCAGAGCGCCCTTTGTGTTCTCAAGGGCGAGCGCGAGGGGGTCTTCAAGCTTGGACTTTGAGCTGTGGCGAGTATGTAGGGCAACGGGCGCAATGCCAGGAATGTTCAAGCCAGTAGAAGTGACCTCAGTCGACAGGAAAACATCATGCGTGGCGGTGGATGGGGGTCTGGTGATGAACAGCCCGGCGGCAGCAGCAGTGACGCACGTTTTGCATAACAAGGGAGAGTTTCCGGGGGTGAGAGGAGTGGGGGATGTTGTGGTGCTCTCGATTGGGGCAGGGCCCATGATGGCACCAGCTGTGGGGGCGAGGAGGGAAGTTGGAGGACGGTGGGGGGGGGGCTGCTCGCCGGCGGTGGTGGAGGCAGTGCTGGATGGGGTGTCCGACAGTGTGGACCAAATCCTGGGGAATGCGTTTTGGGGGCACCGCCAAAACTACGTGAGGATTCAGGCAAGTTCTTGATACGCAGTGTCGATTCAAAAATTGGCCACCCAGACAACTTCCGTAAAAAAATCAGATAAAGAGACACAGAAAAGAATATATACTATGAGATTTCAATTAGAAACTTTAACAATTTCCAAATACCAGCCACAAACACCACATCATTGATAATACATGCCAAAAATTACAGCTAAATCTGTCCATGTTACTAGCGTATGGAAACAATTAAAATCTTGCATATCATGGTACTTTGGGTACTCATAGACCATTTTTTGAGAGATTTGAGATAACGTCAACTTTGTGGGCCTTTTGGTCATTTTTGTAAACACTGTTCTTAGTCACAGGTTAATAGATTTAGTCCATAAAAATTGTTCACCTGATTGCTACTGCTATTTTCTCTAACATTCTGCTTTGCTGTTTTCTCTAACATTCTGCTAAGTTTGAAGAATTTCTTGAGTCAGAAAGGATGGCTTGCAAAGCATCAATCATTCATGGTCCAGTCCTTTGTGCAGGCAAGCAGCCTGCCGAATGAGTTCGAGTCAAGGATGGATGGGTGGTCATCAAAGAAGGTGAAGGCAATGGTAGAAGCGGGGGAGAGAATGCTTTCTGAGAGAAGCACAGAATCCCTGCCTTTTGGAAGCAAGAAGTTGAAGAGTCAGACCAATGCAGAGAGCTTAGATGCCTTTGCTCGCAAAATTGTAGCCATTGCAAAGTCACCTCCACCCAGCTTGTCACCATACATGCGATCTCTAATCTATCAATAACTTGAAATTTCGTTTTGATCCCCCTCATTCTTCATTTCTCCTTAAAGGTTTAGAGTCCGTATCTGACCATTTTGAACTATATGTTTCACTTTTGTTTCTAATGAACATCTAGCCTAGATTTGGCAATGAGAAATCTCTCTCTCTCTCTCTCTCACGCACACACATTGCCACTTGTGTGAACAGCTATATCATTGCAGGTTCCTCATCTCCACTTGTGTGTAGATCGATATCAATGCAGGTCCTCTGCTACAATGGGTAGTAAGCAGTTCGTCCCCACTTGTGCGTACATCTATATCAATGCAGGTTCTCTGCTACTATGGGTATAAGCAATTCCTTAGAAAGCAGTCCTATGCTTCCCTTTGATTTAACCAATCAAACAATGGATACATTATAGGCCACTCTGTTTCATATTTACAGCACCAAAACATAACATTGCCACTAAGTAGCACAATGACCAAGGTATATGGAGCATTGACAAGAAATTCACACGATAGCACATTGGCAGTAGTTTGGTCCTCCACACTTTAGTGGCAAAATTAGATGGGTATAAGAGTTATACAATGGATGCTAAGCGAAAATGATTTCACATTTTTTATTTTTTTTTATAATGTTAACTGTAAAAACGATTTCACACTTTCACAGCTCCAAAATATAAGAGTTTCCACTAAGAAGCATAACTGTTCAAAAGAATTGAAAGGGGAATATATACATACCTTCACCAGTTATGTAATCCTCCTTATGGTACAAAAAAAAAAACAAAAAAAACAAAAAACAAAAAAAAAATAGTGGCAAGATTTGATTTAGCAGAAGTTGTTAGGATAATTTATCTGTAAACCGTTGGGATTGATATGGAAAGGCTACCAGCAGAAAATTCCGGCAAATTAAAGTATGCTTGGGGGTCTATCTAATGAGAATTACTTAGAAATTCCAATAAAAACATGGCACACATCTACTGTTATACACATAGTTACCAGGATCTGCTACTTTGGTCAGCAATCTTTTTTAGAATCGCGATCCCGTCGCTTTTGAAATGGATCTCGATTTATAAATTTTGGGATCTTGATCCTCACAGATATGTTCAGTGATCTTTTTTAGAATCTCGATCTCGCTTCTGAAATGGATCTCTCAAGGATCATGATTTTTAAATTTTGAGATCTTGATCTTCACGGATAGGGCTTTCAATTCATGCTATTAAAGATCTGGATCCCAACCTTAAAGACCAAGATAACAACTAAATTGATGATTCTTATGTTCATAGCCAGCTAGCAGCACAACTATACTTTTAATAAGTCGCATTGCTTGCTTGTTATCAATAATGAGATCCCTTCTTTAAAGAGTACATATAATCCTAGACTATCATACACTTTAATGTTGGTACCAAGATCATTAAAACGTTGAGATCAATATCCCAAAAGATCGGTATCAAGATCCCCAAAAGGCCAGAATCTCAATCCTCAACATTTGCATTATACGGAGGATATTTCCAACTACAGGGACTTTCCAGCATTTCATGATCCCCTACTCCCAATCCCACTCCCAGTACCGTTCTCACTCTTGATCCCAACAACACTGGTTATACACTTAACAACACCAAAATTGGCATGCAAATATCATTGAAATGGGCTCTCCAAACAGCAATATTGTGGCCCAAATCTACACTTCCTGAGATTATTTTCCCCTAAACAAATAGCATGTAGATAGAAAAGGGATAAATGATACACAGCCAACATATTAAGCATCAAAAGTAAATTAAAAATGGATATACAGCCACAAGAAAGGTCACTGGTAATCACCCAATCTTCGGTCAATTTACTACAAAGAAATCACTTCAATGGATTCTTGGGTTAGAAAAGTAAAGGGGTAAATGATGTAGTCGATGAGGCTGACCAGTAGCTTTTGACCTCGCAAAGCTTTTGGGAGCTTCTTTGTGACCAAGCCAACTATGAAATTTGTCAAGAGAGACGAATTATGGGTAGTGAGAGAGAGAGACTAAACATCATGCTCTCACTCCCAACCAATGCCGTTTTAAGGTTTCAATGTTCCAATGGCAGAATCTTGAGGCATGGGTTTTGTTTTTGCTCTTTTAACACTTAGGCAAAACGGGTACATGCAAAATAGTAAGCCTAAGGGTATTTTGGTCCCCACGGTTTTCAACGGGTTTTGCTTTATAAAATCATTCACCTATTAAGACAATATGCTCTATCTAGATAACTTAAATTGTACGTCCTCAAGTGATTCATAGTTCATCCACATACATGACATCTAAAAAACATTCAACAAGCCAATACCCAGAAAGCTAGTCAAGCGAATGCAAGTCTCCCAAGAGAATACCAAACCAAATACAATCCCATGATGTCAAATGGCAGGAACAACTCATGTCAAAATCCCAGCAACTTTAAGCAAAGTTCCCTCTTTCATGAATCATCAAAGAGGACTCCCTATAATTAGGCATTCCAAAAATTGTAGATAGTGGTCACGATTACACCAACAAGGAGTTGAAAAGTGGCAACAAGATGAAGTAATTGTTTACCCGAAACACTACACATCAGCAGGGAATCCATGGGTTGACATAAGCACATCAACATGTTGCCCTTCACCTAGAGACGAAGCAACAATTAGTACCTCAACTCATATGCAGATATCTCTAGATTATGACCAACTTTAATACTTGAAATCAAACTAATCAGAATATTATAAGAAATAACCTCTTCCAATTTGCATTGCTTCCTTAACAAAATGGAACAAACTTGCAGAAACACCACAATCACTATCTGCATCAAGTTGATTTCTACCTGCATCAAGTTGATTGCAAATAACGCAAAGTAGTAATCTTGAATTTCAAGAACATGATACAACAATATGAATAGAAGTAATCCACAATAAGCATCAGAACTGCATAAACCACAACAATGCAATTAAATATGGTGATGAAACCTTATTCCTCCGTAAACAATAGCAAACTATAAAGTCAGGTTATAATGACTACAACAAAAAAGAAACATAGAGCAATTCTCGGCACCAGAACAAAAGAACACCAACATAATAAATAGAAGTCCCCCCAATCTTCACTTTATGCCATGCCGACTCTCCGTTGTGGAATTGGACCAAAGGGAATCTCCATAGGAACTAGTCCTTATGATTTCGCACATAGGAGATCGAGACACAGCCCCAGGGCGGGATATGGGGAAAGATTTAGATCGATCGCCCCCTAGATAGACTACTACCTAGAGGGTCTCTACAAAGTCTATATATTCTTTTCTGTCGTTCCTTCGCATCGTTATATCAATATCACAACCAATGAGGTATGCCAGTCCACAATAGCTAAGGCATCAGAACTGTATAGGCTAAACAACAACAATGCAATTAAGTATGGCGATGAAACCTTATTCCTCCGCAAACAATAGCAAATTATGAAGTCAAGTTACAATGGCTACAACCAAGAATAAATAGAGAGCAATGTTCGGCACAAGAACAAAAGAACACCAACATGATAAATAGAAGTAATCCACAATAGCTAAGGCATCAACAGCAATGCAATTAAGTATAGTGATGGAACCTTATACCTCCGCACACAATAGCAAACTATAAAGTTAAGTTACAATAGTTACAATAATAGCTCTCTAATCGATAACCAAGAAGAAACAAATAGCAATTTTCGATGCTTGAATAAAAGAACACCTCTTTACCAACTTCAAAAAACAACATCACCTAGATGAGAGTCAGAGGGCAGCCCAAGTGCTAGCATTAGGAGTCAACGAAATCCATCAAAACTAGTTAAATTGCAAGCAATAATTAAGAAACATACCCTATGATATCTTAAAATGACTAAAATAGTAAAGACAACATGAATACACATAGAAGCATACTAAAAACTAAAGTATGATGATGAAACCTTATTAAGTATGGTGATGAAACCTTATTCCTCCGCACACAAGAAGAAATAGAGAGTAATTTTTGATGCATGAACAAAAAGAACGCCTCTTTACCAACTTCACAAAACAACATCGCCTAGAGGAGAGTCAGAGGTAGCCCGAGTGAATTGGGGGGAGAAAACAACAAAATTGATATATTCAATTAAATCTTATAAGAAGGCCCTAACAGAAGGTAACAAGGCCTATCTTATAGAGAGTTGATCATCTTATAGAGATTACATTAGCGACCGTTGAAACCGCGACTCAAGAATACAGAAATAAAATAATAACCATCATCCTATGATACCCTAAAACGACTAAAATAATAAAGAGCGCATAAATATAGAAGCAAGCCAAAAACTAAAGTATGGTAATGAAACCTTATTCTTCCGTACACAATAGCAAACTATAATGTCAGGTTATCATGATAGATCTCTAATTGATAACCAAGAAGAAACATAGAGCAATTTTCGATGCTTGAACAGAAGAACCAATATAATACAATAATCTGAATAAAAGTAATAATCCACAATAGCTTAGGCATCAGAACTGCATAGGCTAAAACAACAACAATGCAATTAAGTATGGTGATGAATATTCCTCCGCACACAGCAAACTATCAAGTCAGGTTACAATGCTTACAATAATAGCTCTCCAATCGATAACCAAGAAGAATCAGAGAGCAATTTTCGATGCTTGAACAAAAGAACACCTCTTTACCAATTTCACAAAACAACATCACCAAGAGGAGAGGCAGAGTGCAATAGCTTAGGAGTCAACGAAATCCATCAAAACTAGTTAAACTGCAAGCAATCATCAAGAAACATACAAAAGGTAAATCATAAAAGAATTGATAGACTCAATTAAATCATAAAAGAATTGATAGACTCAATTAAATCATAAAAGAAGGCCCTAACACAAGGTAACAAGGCTCATCTTACAAAGAATCGATCATCTTACAGATTACATTAGCCTAGACCTTTAAAGCCACAACTCAAGTATACTGAAATAAAATAGTAACCATCATTCTATGATACCTTAAAATAACTAAGCATGTCAGAAACTGAAGTATGGTGATGAAACCTTATTCCTTCGCACACGGAAATTAATCAATCCAATGACACCCTAAAATGGGGAAAGTAGTAAAGAA